AGAGAGAGAGAGAGAGAGAGAGAGAGAGAGAGAGAGAGAGAGAGAGAGGAAACAGCCATTGAACAGAAACCTAAAGCCAGAGTTTGTAGTTTGCTTTTGTTTCTCTACACAAAATTGCTATAAAGTAGCAAGCTCAGCATTGGATACATTCACACTCTATGTTCACACTCATTCACAACCTATGACTCCCTTGCCTTTATATTTGTTGTTGGTAGTAGTGGTACTGGGATTTGAACCTACACCCTTTGCATTCTGTCAAGCTAGGAAAGACAGCAGAGTTTAGCTGGACACTCCTGACATGGGGTCTCTCCCAAGGATACAGTGAAGGTTCTTGATGGGCCTGTAACTTCTGCGTCCATGCTCACTTACATTGCCTCAAGTCTTAGCTGCATATTGTCTGGTCACATCAGCTCATCGGGACACAAGGCAGACCCCACCAACACCCACACCAGGGCATGTATTAGAAGCCAGTCCCTAGGTGCAGTCTGTACTGAGAGGTGAAGGCTCATACATGAGTGCCAGTGTTCTTGGGCCCTTGGGACCACTATGGAGGCTGCCTACGAGAGCTCCTAAGTACATGAAGCTGAGCACTCTTCAAATCCTTAGCAGCTTCATGGAGCTTTTCAAAGGAACTCCAAATTCCACAGCCTGGTGGAATCCAAATACCCAGCCATTGCTGACACCCTGCTTGTGTTTTGAGGCGCTTCCTTTGTGGTCTACTGTTTATTGTAGAACTAAGAAAATGGCCTCTATCAAGGTGCATCTTTTCTCTGTCCCAGATGACACCTTGAAAAAGTTATAACTTAGGGCTGGAGAGATGGCTCAGAAGTTAAGAGCATCTGCTGCTCTTGTAGAGGACCCAGGTTCAGTTCCCAGCACACACAATTGTCTGTCTGTAACTCCAGTCCTAGGGAATCTGATGACCTCTACAGAAACCAGGAACACACATAGTGCACAGACATACATGCAGGAGAAACACTCAGATAGATAGATAGATAGATAGATAGATAGATAGATAGATAGATAGATACATACATACATACATACATACATATTTAAAAGGTGATAAACTTATGCATAAAGCATGTGTTGGAATGGTGAAATGTTACCAACCTAACATGCAAACCCAGAATTGACCCCTGAGTATCTTGAGGTTGGTGCTGTAACTGGTTAGATGTTATTGAAAGTGTCGTGAGGGGTAGCATCCATTGGCAGGATTACCACTGTGACGTGTGCTCCCTGAGAGCATCTGTGCAGCAGTCACTCCCTCACAGCTGAGGAAGCAGACGGATCCAAGGGACCGGCCAGAGCCCCTCGACACCAGTGCTGCCATGGCTTGCCTAAGTAGACATGAGCAACAGTCCTGCTTGGAACCTGCACTCAGCACAGTCTTGAAGAAATTATCTGAGGCTCACAATAGCCTCTCTGACTTAAGTCTCAATTGAACATTTTATAAGGCGGGTGGGAACAAGTTTTTGGAATACTTTTATGTGTGTTGGGATTTCATTAATTTGACAGTATGAAGAGAGTTTTTGTTGTCATTATTGTTTATTTTTCATAAATGATCCTTAAGACAAAGACAACTTTTAAAAACTAAAAATTCTTTGGATATGAGAATTATAGTTTGGACAGAATATTTTCAGAAAGTTCTTAGACTGATTCTATCAGAGAGAAACAGACTAGTCATCGGGACAGGTCTGTGTTAGAAAGTTTTACCATTCACGGATGATCTGTCCAGGGGTGGTTTTTAGCTCTCTCTTGTCCAGTGGTGATTTTACTATGGGGATCAAGTGACGGGGATTTCCCATCAAGGCAGAGATGAAGATGGAGCCGATTGGGGTTCCACTTTGAGAACTTGCATAACTAAGTATGATTTGCCTGCCGTCTAAGGGGGGCCTATGCTGGGCAGCACCCACAGGGTGAGGCAGCTGTCTCCTGGGAGCTCCCAAGATGGCATGCCGCACTTGGGTGGGAAATTAGATTGATGGATGTCCTTGTTGTGAGTTTCAAGTCTCTATAATTGGTAGATGATTTCCTTCCTGGCCTTACTGTCGAGGAGACTGCCTTGAAGATGAGCTCACTGTGGTGTGGGCAAACATTCCAAGGGAGGTTCCTGTGCGAGTATTAGCTTGTGCATGCTTTAAAGGGAAGATTGTCTGTGAAAGATCTATGTCTCTGATAACTGTGCACAGTCATTCTAGAAACCACTTTTGAATATGTGGTCAGGGCCATTGGGACTTCCCAGCATCTCCAACCATACTGTCATAGTGACCCTTAACCACTGCCACTCTGGAGAGCACATTTCCCCTCATCCCATGCTATTTCCAGGTCCCACAAATTTCAAACATCGTTTTCTATCACTCCCTCTCCCCCCCTCCTTCCCTTGTTTCCTCTTCTCTTCCTCTTTGTTTTTTTTTTTTTTTTTTTTTCAAATGTCCCAAACTGGCTGCAGCCCGGGATGAGCTTGAACTTCTGATCCTCCTATTCCATCTTCAAAGTGTTGGAATTACAGGCGTGTGCACCACACCCAATTTATGCAGGCCTGAGGATCCAATTCAGGGTTTAACTTGACAAATTGGGCAGTTTCCAGCCTCTGTCCTTCTTCCTTTTGACTCACTGACTTGATCTGTATCTGAGGCTTGTCTTGAGCTTGCTCTACAGTTCATACTGACTTCAAACTTAGAGTCCTCTTGTCTCTACCTCCTGAGTGCTGGGATTACAGATGTGTGCCACCACAGTGCCCCCAATGTCTTTTTAAAAGTCTATTAATTGTGATGGATGGATAACAGTTGCATTGGGGTCCCATGTGATACTTCAGTTCACACTTATATGGTGGAATGCTCTAACATGTGCATCTTAACAGCAAATGACTTCTGCAAATTCCCCCTCGTCCTGCAGTCTTCTTCATTAGAAGGGCAGCACGCTTATCTGCTCTAGGCAGGATGAGTTCAAAGTCAGCTTGTCAGAAGAGAAGTCTTCCATTTGCCAGCTGGGAGTCTCACTTCCTGTCTTGTCTGACCGAGGAGGGAGTTTGTTGTCCAGCTGAACACATTTTTAAAAGGACTTTTAGGAAGTTCTCAGACACATCAGTCACAGACCGGTCACTGCTGCCTGGGCACCACAGGGACCATGCAGACTCCTGTCTGCTGACTGCACCACATGCTTGGAGCCTTATCTTTTTCTACAGCATCACCCCAGCTCTTCCTCCAAAGCCCTGCCCCTCTCTCAGACCACCTCAACCTTGTGAACACCAAATTCCATGGTGTTCATGGCCTTTCGAGGGACTTGTGAGGACTGTGGGCCACCATCCACAGACTCTCACCAGCTTCACAGTGGTCCTGCCTTGGAAGGGGACAGTGGTGGCCCGTGTAGGCACCCTGGACACAGAGTGTGTGTAGTGGAAGCACTTGTGTCCTTTCCAAAGTCACACTTCAATGTCCCGCCCAGACAAGGAGACAAAGCCTTCAAAGAGATGTTGTGATTTGCATACGAAATGTCCCACCCTCTATAGGCTTACTATTTAAACACTTCTTCTCCTATCAGAGGTGCTGTTCGGAAGGCAATTGAATCTGATGGGATGGAGCCCTGCTAGAGGGAGTATGTGTGTGTTTGTGGGGAGTTGAGATTTTATAGGCTGGCCTCACCTCCTCCTCTTCCTCCCTCGCTGGCCCTGCTGCCACAACGATGGACCCTATCCTCTGGTACTATAAGGCAAAACAAACCCTTCCTCAGGTTATTTTATTACAGCCACAAAGAAGAGACTATTACAAGAGTTGATTATGGTAAAATGAAGTTATAGGAGTGGGACCTAGTCCACAGTGGCTGGTGTCCTCAGGAGAAGAGGAGATGAGGGCTCAGACGTGCAAAGACAGAGGAGCACACGAGGACAAGGGTGGGAAGCCAACATCAAGCCAGGCAGACAGGATTCATAAAACCATCTCTCAGGCTTACAGCCTCCAGCATTTGAGAACAATCTCTACAACCTCTGTTTTTTAACATGCCCATCCTGGGGTGCCTTGTCACAGTGACTGTGAGAGCCAAAGTTACATTTTAAGTTTTAATCACTATGCCTAAGAGATCCATGAAACAAAAATGCCTCTGATCTGCAAACCCCTTGTCCAAGGACAGATAGTTCCTGAAATCCTGGAGGCTACTGTTTATGGAAGATAACAGGACACATGTTTTCACTCCCTAAACAAGTTTGTTTGACCCAACTGCACTGGATGTGTTTGATCCCATGTAGGTGGGAGGTACGTAGGCAGGAAGTACGTCAGGGTGCAAGTTTGCCCCTGATTGGACCTGGTGGGAAATACGGTAGCCTTATGGGTTTGCCTTTCTAAGCCTCTGCAAAATGTGACTTGTTGCCATTTTCTGGGAACCCTGGAATGGACCTGGCCAGAGTCCATCATCTTGTCCAGTATTTAATTACAGCTTGCT